CAGCAGCAGCAGGAGGGTGTTGTGTGTGTTGTTTGCAGGTGGGGTCAGGGCAACATGAATTAGAGGTGCCGCAAGCAGTAGTAGACCGGCTGTATAAAAATATAAATGAAGAAGGAGAAGTGAAGACAAACGAAGATAAAACAACAAACAAAACAAATGAATATCATAATAAAGATTTCGTCGCAATGCGCTGGCCGGACTTCTTCAGCATCAAGTCTGCATACACCCCAAATTTATACCTCCCTATACACCCCAAATTTACACCTCCCTATACACCCCACACCTCCCTATACACCCCACACCTCCCTATACACTCCAAATTAAAGACTCCATATACACCCCAAATTTATGCCTGCATGTACACCCCAAATGAAAACCTGCCTATACACCTGAATCATATCTTACCCTTTCCTTGACTCCCTGCTGCTCTTCCGTGGCTGAACCCGCCTACGCGCGTCTTATACACGTTGCTGCTGCTGCTGCTGTTGCTGTTGCTGCTGCTGCTGCTGCTCAGATTGAACTCCTTTCACTTGGTGGAAGCTGCAGCAGCAGAGGAGACGCACTCTGCCCTCGGGGAGTTGAAATGGTTTGGAGATATTGCAGACATTTATAAGGCAAATGCCGCAGTAACTGCAGCAGATGCTGCTGCTGCTGTTGCTGCTGCTGCTGCAGAAGCACCAGCGCGCTTCCCAGTGCGAAAGTAAGCGATGACTTTATGCCGGCCTGCTGCTGCTGCAGCAGCAGCAGCAGCTGCAGCAGCAACCGTTGCTGCTGCCCCCAACATATATAGCACAACGCAACTATCAGCAGCTGCTTCAGCTGCAGCAGCAGCAGGAGCTGCGTGAACAGCAGCAGCTGCAACAGCAGCAGCTGCAACAAGAGCAGCTGCAACAGCAGCAGCTGCTACAACAACAGCAGCAAGAGAAACAGCAGCACCAGAAGCAACGGCAACAGCAGCTGCTGCAACGGCAGCAGCAGCAGCTGTTTGCACTTTGTGAATTTGTTGTTTGCGTTGCTCTGTTTGTTTATTTTGTTTGTTCTGTCTTTTTTTTGCTTTTGCTGATACTTCCAACTGCTTTTTAAGGCGCTCTTTGCTCTGCTTCTTTTTTATTTATTTATTTATTTTTGTTTGTTTATTTTGTTTGTTTGTTTTGTTTTTCATGTCCGTTTATTTATTTTGTTTTTTTGTGTTTATTTTTGTTCCTTTTGTTTAATCATGTATATATATATATATGTATAGGTGCATACATAAATGTGTATACACGCATTTTATTAATAGATTAGTGTATATATATACAGCTATAAATATATATATATTATATAGATATATATTGAGGTTTATATATCATAATATATTCGATAAAGCCGCACCGCCCACGTAGAAAGGGCACAGAAGTTTGAGGTGTACGTACACCCCAACACCTGCTACAGACAAACTCTCATGCAGCAGCAGCAGCAGCAACAGCAGCAAAAGCGGCAGTAAGCCCTGATGCTCGTCGCGAGCCTGCTGCTAGTGCTGCTGCTGCTGCTGGTACTGCTGCTGCTGCTACTGTTAATCCTGCTGCAGCAGCAGCAGCAGCAATTGGGCAGCTGTCCGCTGCGAATTACCTGCGGCGACAGCCCCAGCAGCAGCTAGACAGGACCTGCTGCTGTTGCTGCTAGTCCTGCTGCTGCTGCTGCTGCTGCTTATAAGCTTGTGAAGTTCACCAGAAGTTGCTGAGTGCGGCATTGCTGCTGCGCCGGGCGTAGCCTCCCTTGCTGCTGCGTTTGCTGCTGCTGCTGCTGCTGCTGATGGCGATTTGCTGCAGCTCCTCTGGAGGCTGTTGCCCCGCTTCTTGAATCACTCGGCACAGGGCTGAGGCTTGCTTAGCCTGCAGCAGCAGCAGCAACAGCAGCAGCAGCGGCAAGCGGCAAATGAAGCAGCAGCAGCAGCGCAGCAACAGCACGCACCACCAGTAGCAGTAGCAGCACAGCAGCATCGAGAGAGCCCAGGAGCATCAGCAACAACACTGACAGCAGCACCACAGCAGTAGCAGCAGCAACAACAACAGCAACGGCAGCAGCAGCATAGCAGCAGCAGTGCAGCAGCAGCAGCAGCAGCAGCAGCAGCAGCACCTTTTCTGGTGTATGGTAGTCATATGCGAAGAGGGTGATTGCAGTGCCTTTGTCTTCCGCTCGCCCCGTGCGGCCTGCATTTATTTAAATACTTTGAATAGAATTAAATAAATTAAATTAAATTATCTTTGCTTTATAATACAGACAATACGCGAAAAAAGTAAGGCAACAATAATAATATCAATAGTAATAAGGCGAGGCCGTATCTTTATTAAGTATATATATATATATATATATATATATATATATATGCATCTGTATATATCTTAATTGTTTATTAATATATTTATTTATATTGATTTAACTTACCAATGCGGTGTATGCACGTCTCAGTGTAGAAAGACTGTATATCTATAATGCCTATCGAGTATAAATATTTGTATCT